AGGACCTATCTTCACACAGCCTAGCGTGTAAGTCATTAGGAATTTCATGGACGAATGTCCTAGGACCCGATCTATGACTATCTCTAGCATACTCCCAAAGCGAATTGAATCCCACTCTGCTGCACCCTCCTCTGTGATAACTCATTGTAACTTATAGGATGCATTGGTTTAAGTTTGTTTTCCTCTTTTTAATGTTATTTTGTGGCTTGCGATCCATTGGTTTGAGTTGGTTAGTATAACACCAGCATGTGCACACAAGATGCATTGCTCTCGGGGAAAATTAAGCGGTATCTATGTGCAGAGTGGTGGGTCAAAGAAATGTATCATATACTATACTGTTTGTTGTCAGTGAGTCGTTTAAAATTTAAATTTTATATTGATTTATTTCCAAATATTTTATTAAAAAAAAGATGTAAGATTTCATATTTTTTGAACTAAAATATAAAATTATTTAACTTTTCAATAACAACTCGTCAAATGTATTATTTTTAGAGGTAAATGTATTTCTAATTTTAAATCAAATTATATATTTATCCATGCCATTACTATGTGATGATATATTTATTATATTCAAATTAAAAATATAACAACAAATATATAAACAACAATATTGAAATCCAATTTGTGCGTTAGTAAAAAAAAACGAAATCCAATTTGTGCATAATTAATATCTAAATTAATATGAGATAATATGATTGATATGCAGGTATAGTATATACATTAGACCACAGTAATTCATTATATTTTTAAAACTTTTGCAAATATAACTTATATTATAGGATCAAATCAAACAAATAACACAACATTTATTACATTTTGTATTATGGCGGTTTATTATATTTGTTCATAATATAACATTATATATTAATAATAAGTTATTTTTAAATTTTTAATGATAAACTCTTATACATTAATAATAAACCTCTTATATATCAACATGAGCTGGCTATATTTTTAAATTTTTAAAAATTTGGTCCGTACTCATTGAATACAAGATTTTTTTGGGTCAATGAGCCAATTTATGCCATATTTTTTTAATAAATAGATTATATGTAAAAAAAAAATGGGGACAAAATCACAGTCTTGTATGAGCGGTAAAATATATAAAAATTTTATAATTTATTAAAAAATTTAATGATAATGTAAAGATTAATTAAAGTTTTCCTTTCTTTATATCCTTGTGTATTAACGTAGAAGCCAATACACTTTAGTAAGATCAAAGGAGAGGAAAGCATATAGATCACAGGGTGTTCAACTTGAATCCGTCCCAATTTGCCCGGTTCTATCCTAATCATATCAGGATGGGATTTTGTTAGATGGAACAAGACAGGGATTCAAGACAAGATATGAGATTATCCTTGAAACGTCTTGTCCCATCCCGAATATTATGTATGTAACACACCAAAATTTTTTTAAAAAAAAATAATTTAACTCAATCATAGTTGGGTTACAGCCACCCAACACATTTTTATATCAATAATTTCAATATAAAATATTTTATAATTGGCTTCAACTCACACACTATAACATTTTAGATAAATTTTTACCTCCCACATGCCATTAGGCTAAATCACATTTGTCCATCCTTATACTCCCAACAAGTAAAATAAGCAATTTAGTCAATTTTCAACACAAGCCAGTTATTTGGCCTTATAATCATGCCATTTTAACCAATCCAAAGTAAACCAAATATTAAAATTACAGTCATCCAAATTGTACCAAAAATAGAAATAGTTTGAAAGGCATGATTACATTTATATATTCATATAATTGACAATAAACAAAAAGCCCTAATATTGGCAATATAACACATTATAAATCATAAATTAAATATCCAAAAGAGATAGTGGATCTATACCATTAAGCCTTTGGGACTCCTCTATATGTCACTCGAGGCTCTTCTCCTGAAAATTTTTAACCATATAATGAGACTCAAAAGTCCCAGTAATCAAATCCAATTTTTGATAGTGTATACAAACAGTTAAGTGTGTGCTTACTAAGTGAGAATTAAAAATAATATAATTCCAACAAATATATGAAATATTACAATACACACAAACAACCATCCTTATATCCCTCCATTAACCTCGAGCCGTAGCCCTCACTTAGTGCTAAATTATCCGGCCAAAAATAGATTAACCCAAGCCCTTACAAGCCACCTATTGAGCTCCAATAGGGGCGTACCACATGGCACATAAATACAACAATAATAGCAAGTCTACTAACACCTCCCACAATAATCAAACAAATTCATAATAATATTGTACAATTATATAATATTACAAAATTTATAATTTTCTTAATAATCACCCAATTAACATGAAGCAACACAAATCATAAATTAAAAGCATGGTTACCTTGTGGCTTTTTCAATAAATTATTCCTTAAAATTTCTCTCTCACCACAATTTTCACCAGTAATACAATCTACAAATAACATATTATTTATAAATATTAGTTTCAATTTTTGAAACTAATAAAATAATTCTAATAATAGAATTAAAAATATAACATAATTTTTAATCTCAATCTTAATACAAATCTATAGTTAATACTATTAAGTAAAATTTTTAACTCCTCTTTTAATTATCAATAGACATTAATAATCTAAAAATCAACTTCTAAACTAATTTCTATTATCAAAATTTTCTTTTTATTTTATAAATTCGTACCTAAAATACTCAAAAATTAAAAATTGAGTCTCTAGCTTAGAATTATAATCCTATAACCATAATAATTCATTTCTCATCCCAAATAATCATCTAAACCTCAATAAATCAACATATATTTTTAGATCTAGTTTAGAATTTGATACATAAGCCACAAATTCAAAGATCATCAACAAATTTATACTCTAGAACATTTATTATACTATTGACAACCTCAAAAACCATATTTATTCAACATAAATTCATCCCTTTTCCAGATTTTAAATTTTCTACCACCACAAAATCAGAAACCAAAGAGGAAGGATGACTAAGAAAATTTTTAGAACACTTACTTAGTCTTGAAAAGCTTAAAATCACACCTTAAATATCCTATTAAAAACTCTTACCTTAAAAACTCAGATTTCCCGCATCGGCGACTCACGCTCACTCTGCCTCAGCTCGCGCACGAAGGAAAGAATGAAGAAATGAAAGGAAACGGGTGAGTTTTATAAAAATTCAGTGGGTCCCACATCTTTTTTTTTATTATTTCTTCTTTCCTCTCTCTCCCTTTTTTTTATTATTTTATGTAATCATGACGCGGGCTGAAAGCAACTGGTTTTCTTCTTCTTCTTTCTTTTTTTTTAATACCTTTTCTTTTTTCTTTTTTTTATTATAATAATTTAATAATATTTTTTATTTTATTTTTATTTTATTTTTTTATTTTTATTTTTTATTATTTTTTTTAAATTTTTATTTAGAATTATATCCTAAGTTAGATTTAATGATCATTTTCTACTAATTTACTTACCTCTCAATATTTTTTTTTTAAAATTTCTATTAATTCAAATTAACTATTAAAATTTAAATTGGGATGTTACAATGTGTGTGTATATATATATATTAAAAATATACATCAAATATATTAATTATATTAATATAATTTATACTTATATTAATTATAATTTCAATACGTGCTATTCTTATTTAAAATTAAATTTTTTTATATTGATAATTTTAATAACATGAAGTAAGCAATACATGGCAGTATCTTTCCCGCTTTATTTATTCTTATATTAATATAATTTATTTTTATATTATATTTTTTATTTTATTTTCAAAAAAGTCACTAACTTAATATATTTTGACTAAAAAAGAAGAGCAATAACTTGATGTTGTGTCAAGTTTGTATATTGTTGTTACTCTTATAGCCTAAAGATCACTTCTAATTGCTATCGTAACGTATTGTGTCTCATATATACTTAACTTTAAGTTGTACACTTGTATTTGTAATTAATGTAATTTAATAATTGTTGTGATTTATGTATTCAAGCTGTTTTGATTTTAAACTTAGTAAGTTATATTATTTAAAATTTTAATTAATAAATGTTATTATTCAAACCTTTCTCTTGCATTGTCTGCTTTATCAAGACAGCAAGACATCCAAATCTCATCCTGATCCAATCTTAGTTCCTAATGAGACGGGACAACTTTCGGGATAAAAATTTAGTTTGATAATTTTTTAGGATGGGACACAGGATAGAAGTGTTCCAATCCCATTCTATCCCATGAACACCCCTAATCACATAGGAAATAATAAATAGTCCTTGCTTGATAAAAAGAAAAGTAATACTCCCTAATCTCAAATTATAAAGTATTTTTAGATGAAATTATACATACCAGTAAAATTCATCAAATACATTTTACAATTTTACTTTTTTAAAACAAAAATATAAACTTTTAAAAATGTCTTTCATTTAATATTCTATTGAAATAATATTAAAGAAAGAGAATATTTATAATGGGAAGAGTAATATATTAGAAGCATTGTTTATAAAATCTTATTTTTATTAAAATATCTTATATTTTGAGACTCAAGTTCTTCAAAAATGTCTTATAACTTGATAAGAAAAGGGTAAATTAAATAGGCCTTACGGACATGAAAAATAACAGTCCATGTATAATTCAAACTGATCAGTCACCAACCCGTGTACTCTTTATAATGTCCGAAGGCAATGAGAGCTATTGGAAGCCTCAAAAAATAACAGTGTGGTTATCCTGTAACATAGGGCAACTCGAGAGAATGAGAGCACAGAAAAGGAAGTCAACTAATTTTGAGCAAAATAAAAAAGCTGATGCCGATCGAAAACCGACAATCAGCCCTTATTATAGCTAGGGTATATATGAGAGAAAGAAATAGCACTGACTCTCAAAGAAGGAATGAACGATAATTACGTCCGTCCGTAAGTTCCAGCCACATGCAAAATGCAGATTTTTGAGACCCCATCATGGAAGCCGGAGCAGCCTATAAGAACACAAGTAATGCATACCTGGATGCAGCATCCGTCATCCTCCCCTTGAAACAAAAAAATCTCAGGGGGTTGGAGTTGGTGGGGGGGAACAGAATCTTTCAGAAGAGAAAACAAAAATGAGAGGGAAAATAATTGTGTCCGCGGTTTCTCTCATCCTTGTGGTGGGGGTGGCGATCGGCGCCGTTGTGGTGGTTCACAACAAGAACAAAGACCCTCAGATCTCGGAACGTCAGAATGCGGTGAAGGCCATGTGCCAGAACACGGACGACCAAAAGCTTTGCCACGACACTCTGGGCAACGTGCAGAACAGCTCAGACCCGAAAGCATTCTTAGCCGCCGCCGTGGAAGCCTCCGCCAACAGCGTGATCAGGGCATTGAACATGAGCGATAAGCTCATCGTCGAAAAGGGCAACAGCTCTCAAGGCGTCGTCAAGATGGCCCTCGACGACTGCAAGGACTTGCTCCAATTCGCCATGGACAGCCTCCAGGCTTCCACTGACTTCCTGCATAACAACAGCGTCCAAACCCTGAGCGACCGGTCCCCTGACTTCAAGAATTGGCTTGCTTCTGTCGTGTCCTACCAACAGGCTTGCTTGGATGGGTACGAAGACAATGTCGACGGCGCCAAAGAGATCAAGTCTCAGCTTCAAGAGAATGGTTTGGACGACGCGGGGAAGCTCACCGGCATAGCCCTCGACATTATGGCTAATCTCGAAAGCATCCTGAGTCAGTTCGGGTTGAAGGTGCAAGTGAACCCTGGCTCTCGCCGTCTTCTGGAGCTGGACAGCCAAGGCTATCCCACATGGTTCTCGGCTGCCGATCGCAGGCTCTTGGCCAACGTAAACAGGGTAAGGGGACATCACATCAAGCCCAACGTGGTGGTGGCCCAGGATGGCAGCGGCCAGTTCAAGACCATCATGGCGGCCGTTAACTCTTATCCTAAGGGTTTCCAAGGAAGATATATCATCCTCGTCAAGGCTGGTACTTATCGCGAGTACGTCGTCATTCCGAAGACCGCCGTCAATATCCTCATGTACGGTGAGGGCACTGATAAAACCATCGTCACCGGTAACAGAAACAATGTTGATGGTTACACCACATCGAATACGGCTACTTTCGGTAACTTGCTACTCAACTCATTGCTTTAATTTATTTTATATTAATTCTACAGACATGGAGCGATGATAACTAATTGATTGATGTAGTCAATACTGCGAACGGGTTCATCGCCAAGTACATGACATTCGTGAACACCGCCGGTCCTGAAATGCACCAAGCAGTGGCATTTAGGAACCAGGGAGACATGTCGGGTTTATTCGATTGTTCTTTCGTGGGTTACCAGGACACGTTGTACGCTCAAACCAACCGTCAATTCTACAGGAACTGCGACATCTCCGGTACAGTTGACTTTATCTTTGGAGTGTCGACCACGTTGATCCAGAGCTCTCGAATCATCGTGAGGAAGCCAATGGACAACCAGTTCAACACAGTGACGGCAGACGGCAGAACGCAGAAGAATCTACCCACCGGAACTGTGATCCAGAACTGCGATATCGTTCCGGAGAATGCTCTGTTTCCCGTCAGGTTTCAGATCAGATCCTACCTGGGAAGGCCGTGGAAGGAGTATGCTAGAACTGTGGTAATGGAGTCCAGAATAGGTGACTTGATTCAACCCGATGGGTGGACTCCTTGGGCAGGAAGCTTGTACCTCAACACACTGTACTATGCTGAGTACAACAACGTGGGACCTGGTGCTAATGTTGCGAAGAGGGTTAAGTGGCCAGGTTACAAGGGCCTCATCAGTAGGAATGAGGCTGCTCAGTTCACCGCTGGCCAGTTCCTCAAAGGTGGGTCCACTTCCCGAACTGAGGACTGGATGAAGCCCCTTCACGTTCCTTTCGACATTGGCTTCACTAAGCCCTGATCTTCACTTCGTGTTTGTCCCTTTAGGGATTCACATGTCAAATGTTGTTAACACGCTCGAATTCTTTTTTTTTTTTTTTTCAATTATTCTTTTTATAACGCATTTCGTCAACTTATACAGGCTTTGCAAGAACACGTGTCCCATTTAGTAATGTTCCAATAATAAGATTAGGCTCCTTTAATTTCTCAATATCAATATGATCCACACCTAGAAGCCTAGAACTTTGATTACTAAATCATGAAAAAGTTATATTTTTTTCAAGAATGTTATGCTCTATAGCTGTAACACTATAATCGTTTAACATTTTGTCAAATTGTCAGGCCAGAAATCATTCTGTCAATTTTATTAAATCTATTATCATTATAATTACACCCATGATTACACGCGCGCGCCAATATAACAAGTATACTGAAATGCGGTGTTATCCTTTTTTTTTTCTTTCTAAAATCACAAAGATCTCTCTTTAATTTTCAAAACCTACATTTTAACTTAATTTTTAACACCGTTAAGAATATTTCATCAAACATTTTAAAATGCTTTACTTCTTCTTCTGTCATTATGTTAAAAAAAATTCAAATTATTCACCTACTCTTATAATCTAAGTTGTATACTCTCTTTCTCATTCTCTCCAATTTAAATAGCATCAAATAATGATCTATGATGATATATATAAATAAATGATTTTAAAATACTGTATTATAATTAATAATAAAATAGAATTGTATTTACTAATTACTAAATAGAACAAATAAATAAGTCTAGACATGGTATATATCTCGCTCATTTGAATAATAAAAAAAGTTTACATAAAAAATTAAAACATGAACAAATGAAGTAAAAAAATACGGTATATATCTCGCTGCACGGTTGTACTATGACGTAGTTGTCCGTTTGGTTTTCCTTGTTTATAAAAAAAAAAAATTGTTAAAAACACGTGCATTGAATTTTTTTTCGGGGTAACCTACATGATTTGTAAACAATATATTTGTTTAAATAGATTTATTTTAATATAATATATATATATATAACTTAATAATTAATTAATGATTGGATAGATGAACATGCATGATCTTAAAAATAAATTGAAATTTTATTTTTAATTACTAATTATTAATTAATTATTAAAAGACCGTACATATTAAAAGAAGAAAGGAGACAGATGTAATTATAATTAATAGAAGAGGAGGGAGAATTCGTTATATTTCACTCGTTCATATTCAATAATAATTGTGTCCTAACTAAATATGTTTTTTGAGCATGCTATGTCGCATAAATACTGGTATACGTATCTGAAATATTTATACTTTTATTTTTAAAAATATAAGATACGATATGTTTTTGATATGTGAAAATATATTTATAAAAAAACATAAAAACATTAAAAATATATTTTTAATTTAGAAAATATTCAACCTAGCATATATATATAGTTCTTTATAGTAATATCAATCAAAACATAATCACTAATTATATTTGTATGCCATCCCTATCTAAAACTTTTTTTTTTTTTGAGAAAAATCTAACTTTGACTTTAAAAGCAAATCACAGAAATATATTAGAAATAAAAAATTAGTATTGCAATATTCAACAAAATTTATTTTTTAAAAAAATAACTTCAAAGTATCAATTTTAAAGTATTAACTATAATTTAAAAGTATCGGATACATATCAAAAATTAAACTTTTTTTAAATTATAATAATAATATTTGATATTCTATAAATACATATAGAAGAAGTACAGGCAAGTATCGGTATTAGACATGATACCGACGTGGATACATAAAGCAGTTTGAAGCATCGGTTAGCACGCACACAAAATTACCCAAGAACTTGTCGAGTTTCTAAATCCAAGACCAACTGATGGGGAGGATATTTTTAATAAAAAAAAGAGGAAAATAGATAGATTCATTTATATAAGATCCATAAAAATAGAAACGGAACTCTGTTTTCTCTCTTTTCTTTCTATTGTAATTGAAGTATCAATTAAAAGGAAAAGCCCTGATGCATAGATTCAATTGGTAAGGGGAAGTGCATTCTGATCACTTCTAATATTTTAATAAATTTACTGAAGTTTTTAATGTAATTTGAAGTCATCTAGTTTTCAAGATAATTATAAAAGTTATGGCATTAATTATGGGGTCTTATTTGTATAGGGAGACCCAATTTATTGGCCAAAAGCTGAAAATTTGAAGCCCGTGACAAATTCAATTCTAAATAGTGTTACTACTGCAGACAACAGATGAATTTTCTGCAAAACATACAACATCACTCAAAATTAGCTTTTAAGGGTTTTGAGGAGAATTTTTCAAACCAATTTGCCTTCTGTCAGCAGCAAATCATCCAGGGAATGTCTGAAGAAAAAGTTGGAGAAACCTAAGAAACATTCGGGTTGACAAAAATCATTCGTGCTAAGCTTTAATTTATTCCTCATTTTCTTTTGATGTACAAGTTGTTGAGTTTTGCTGTTTTCCTTGCTGTTTGTGGCTGGATCTTTTTGACCTAGAAGAGCTATGAATTTGTTGGTGGATCAGAGATTGTTTCTACCCATTAGTCATGCTTAATTTTAATTTTGATTGCTTAATCTTGTATTTAATTATCTATTTGATGATTGGCAGCCATCAATTATGAAATTGGGTTTGGGATTTGTTTTTGATGAAAAAGAATTTCATTTGAACCATTAGATTATTGAGTGATATGAGGTTAAATTATTATCTAATTTACAGTTAGAATATATAACTAAGTGCCCAATATGATCATATTAGAGTGATCATAAGTTATAAATTGAATTTGCCTCAGGTAATTTTGTTGGAAATAACTTAATTAACTTGGGAGAGGGTTACAAGTTTGGAAGACCCTTACCAATACTATAAATTAACAAAATTGATATTAAAATTAATTTATTGGGTAAAAACAAGACCTATAAAACTAGTAAAGGATTAATGACTTCAGGTTGCTCTAGACATAAGTGGCTATTAGATTTAGAGCTTTAGTACATTTGTATGAATTCAATTTTATTTTTCAAATTAAATAAATTTCAATTTGTCTTGCTTAATTAACTTGAATGAAAAATTTCATGGAATTACTCCTTTTGTTTTTTATTATTAAAAAAACTATTACTTTTTATTTATATTTTTTATAAGTAAAATCATTAATTTCAATAAACATTTATTACACTCTTCTTAAATCACCTCTCATAGTTTATATTAATAAGGCAAGCTTATGTTCATTAGTATAGGGCATTTTAGTCCATTTTTTTCATTTTTTGACATAATTATTATAGTTAATTGAATTTTTAAATTATGTGATATAATTTTGTGTGTGTATATAAATATATATAAATAGAGGGAGTATGATGTTACCTAATTTTATGCATCACATTCTCTCTGAATATCCAGAGAGCAATATTAATTGCACTCACATTCACCACCCGAAAAACAAGCATGCACATGAGATCAATTCTGAACATAGATGCGTTTAGCCCCGTTGCGTTTAGGATTGTTGACATCACACACACACACACACACACTCAATTCCTTTTTCTCATCTGTCATTTTCAAACATTATTTCTGCCTCTTTTTCGGAATAAAAACTAAACTAATTCACCAAAAAAAACTTAATTCAAATCAGTACTTACGGAAATTGACAAATTAAAGATGTATTTGCCATAATATATATATGTATGTATGTATGTATGTATGTATAGGTAGTTTAGACCTGTTTTAAGCCATGCTAAATACTCATGAATGTATGTCATGTCTAGTATAGATTTTAATACACACAAACACATGTGTATGTATCCACTCAATATTTCACTCAACTCAATTTGGTATATATAATGTACGCGCTTCTATTTATAATATGCTTTCCTTGTACTTAACTTTTAGCAAAAAAAAAAAAATATATGAAAGGAGAAAAAAAAAGAAAAATATAGCTTCAAAAAGCGGTGAAACAAGTTATTATTCAGGGAATAAATTCTTAAAAATTGAAATCCATGAGTTTCATAAAGTTTTTCTTTTTTATATTTTTTATTGTTTTCTTTTTTATAAAATATATGTTTTATTTAGAAATATAATCTTTGTTAAAATTGACGAGTCAAGTTTCAATGTAACACGGATATAAAAGAAAAATAATAAAGAGTTCGCAAATCAAAAGTTGGTTAAATTCTCTTCGGCTAAAGTATATTACAAAAGTTTTCATCTTAGTTCCTTAAATTTATATTTATAAAATATCTTTTTAATCTTGTAACTTTAACATTATTAGTTTCATCATACAAAAATTATATATTAAACTTTCATATATTGACAAAATATTTTCAAATGTTAACATATTAAATTAAACTTTTATTTGTAAATAATGGTATTAGGGTTAGGGGAGTAAAAAATATGTTTTAAAATTAAAATACTAAATTGAAATGTTATAGAAAATTAGAAAACTAAAATATATTTTAGCCAATTCTGTTAAAAGCTTGTAACATATATGGTTACTTTTTTTATAAGAAAGTCAAACATGTTTATTTTTTTTCTAACGCAACTTCTTGTAGAGCGAATGAATATAACAATTTTTAATATTTAAGTACGTAATATTATTAATCAAAGTCAAAACAAACTTCTGAGTGGTGATAGAAATTACATGGACCAAGTTGATGTCATAATAAAGTTGAAATATGAAGAGGCAAATTGGTTGGAGGTAAAAAGAATAATGATCACAAATTATACATATACCGCAGAGAGATGAAATGCGTGGCTGTACGTGGGAGGCGGGCATGAGCAGCCAAACAAGTGTATTACAGGCAAGCTAAAATGGTAAACAGACCCGTCATTCCCGAACAAAAGACATTCTTTTTTTCCTAGAATAGAACGTAAACACGAGAGTATAAAAACCCAACTGCATGCATGCAGATGGCATCCTCTCTCGATCTCGCTTGCCTCCCCTGAAGAAACAGAGGTATCTGAAAGGGGGGGAAGACAAGTATCCTTGAGGGTCACCTGGAATAATTAAAAAGATGAGTGGGAAAGTAATAATCTCTGCAGTTTCCCTAATCCTCGTCGTGGGGGTTGCCATCGGCACCATCGTGGTGGTGCACAAGCAGAATGGCGATTCTGGTCAAATCTCTTCCCATCAAAATGCCGTGGCTGAGATGTGCCAGAACTCCGACGACCCAAAGTTTTGCCAACAGACTCTCAGCCATGTGAATGACACCTCTGACCCAAAGGCTTTCCTGGCCACCGTAGTGGAAGCAACCACCAACAGCGTCATCAAGGCCCTGAACATGAGCGACAGGCTCATCGTGGATCACGGCAATGGCCAGAATGGCGTTAAGATGGCCCTTGAGGACTGCAAGGACCTGCTCCAATTTGCCATGGACAGCCTCCAGTTTTCCACTGACTTATTACGCAACGACATCAAAACTGTTACCGCCCAAACCCCAGACTTTAGGAACTGGCTCTCCGCCGTCATCTCCTACCAGCAGGCCTGCATGGACGGCTTTGACGACAACAACGACGGCGAGAAACAGGTCAAGTCACAGTTGCAGCAGCAAGGGTTGGACGACATGGGAAAGATAACCGGCATAGCCCTGGACATGGTCGCCAATCTGGCCAAGATCCTTGACAAGTTCGGGTTGCACCTGGACGTGAAACCTGCTTCCCGCCGCCTTATGGAGGTGGACAGCGAAGGTTATCCCACATGGTTCTCGGCTTCCGACCGCAAGCTCTTGCAGAAGATGCGGAGGGGACATCATGTGAAACCCAACGTTGTGGTGGCTAAGGATGGCAGCGGCAACTTCAAGACCATTGCAGAGGCCATCGCCTCCTATCCCAAGAACGGCCTAGGGCCAAATGGCAGATACGTGATCTTCGTCAAGGCAGGCGTATATCCAGAGTACATCATCGTCCCCAAATCTGCAGTGAATATCCTTATGTATGGTGAGGGAGCAGCCAAAACCGTCATCACCGGAAACAAAAACTTTGTGGATGGTGTCAAGACAATGCAAACAGCTACCTTCGGTAAGTCAGCCATTCGTATTATTAATTAATTAATCTGCTTCCTATTTTTCCTTTCGGCAAAATAATAATAATAATAATATTCATGATCTCTTGTGCAGCCAACACTGCAACTGGGTTCATCGCCAAGTACATGTCATTTGTGAACAGCGCTGGTCCTGAGAAGCACCAGGCAGTGGCACTGAGGAACCAAGGAGATATGTCGGCTTTCTTTGATTGCGCCATCGTGGGTTACCAAGATACCTTGTACGCTCAAACCAATCGCCAATTCTACAGGAACTGCGACATCTCTGGTACTATTGACTTCATCTTCGGGGTGTCGCCGACATTGATCCAGAACTCTAGAATCGTTGTGAGGAAGCCACTGGACAACCAATTCAACACAGTGACGGCAGACGGGACAAGCCAGAAGAATATGCCCACTGGAATTGTGATCCAAAACTGCGATATCGTGCCAGAGCCAGCTCTCTTCCCTGTCAGGTTCCAATTGATGTCTTACTTGGGAAGGCCATGGAAGGCTTACTCAAAGACTGTGGTAATGGAATCCAGAATCGGTGATGTCATTCACCCCGATGGATGGATTCCTTGGGAGGGAAGCATGTATCTCGACACATTGTACTATGCTGAGTACAACAACGTAGGACCCGGAGCTAATGTTCAAAGAAGGGTCAAGTGGCCAGGTTACAAGGGCCTGATCAGCAAGAACGAAGCTGTCCAATTCACAGCCGGCCAATTCCTCAAGGGTGGACCCACCTCCGATTCTGCAGTTTGGTTGAAGGCTCTTCACGTTCCTTTTGACCTTGGCTTCACCAAGCCATGATTATCCAATGCATGGTCACGTTAACACAAACAAAGACACGTGTAATTATTCCTGATGACCACGCACATACCAACTCGTGTGATGCTTGTGTTATTTGGCCATTTAATGAGATTGCAGAGGCCCACGGGGCTCGTTCTTTTTATTATATATGGCTTGGCTTCTTTTAATTTCTTTTCTTTTCTTTTCTTTTTTGTCTGATTTAGTCCTGCACGTTCAAACGTTTCTCCCTTCCGTTTTCCTTTATAGCTAGCTCATTACAATTATCGCCGAAGATGTTGAATTTATATAAACATTCAAATTAAGTAACGCATTTCAGTTTCATTAACTACATAAACTAAAATTCATAATAATCCTTGTGCGTATCTTTGTGAACTATATATATAATTTGGGAATAACTAAATCGTTGGCTTTTAGCCCGTATAATTCAGTCGCAAATTAAGTAAGATCTTTCAATTATGAACATATTTTTTTCCGAGGTTTAATTTCAATTTCTATCCCTAGAGTCCTATAATGTATAAGAATAATAATATTGCATATACCTATATATATATATATATATATCAGAAAAATGATAATAATTTTTTTTTTAAATTATATAAATGATAATCTAATTTCTTAAAATGTCATAACTTCATTGAAGTCTCTAGGGACTTTTATGTCATTAATGAAGTTATGAAAATGATCAAATTGCCCTTGTAGCTATAACAAAAATTTGACATGTATAATTGTGAATTGTTGTTGTATTATTATGAATATAGGAAACAAAGTTATAATTATTTAAATATGATTTGTGAATGGCAAAACTTTGGCATGTAAATGTAAGAAAGAAAGTTGTAATTATTTAAATAAAATTTATGATCATTACTTATTATTTTCAACACTTAACAATATCAGAAATTTGATATCTAAAATTATGATTTGTAATATATTACAAATATAAGAAGAAAAGTTATAATTAGGATAATTTGAACATTTATATAAAGTCATTAATGATAGAAAAGTTTCTGAAGATTTCAATTAAATTATGACATTTTGAGAGATTAAATTATCATGTATATAATTTAAAAATATTTTATTGTCATTTTCCTATATATATATATATATATATCATCGAGATATAAAACTATTTCAGTGAATTATAACTATTATTCATAAATTATCGGTAATGTGATTTATTTTTTATTACATGTAATGTACCTACTGGAAAAAGCGTGTGTGTGTGTGTGGTTATTAATAAATTTCATGAAGTAAAAAAATTATATTCAAATTCAATAAATTACAAAAAGCTACGTCATGCATACACATTAACAAGTTACCTTTTAAAAAAGCAACCAAAATTTAATTCTAAAATTTGGAGCCTGAGTTTTATAACAACACAAACTAATTATTAGGTTTTATGTTCAATAACCTTATGTCTTCTTGGTTCGTGGATTGATCTATGTTGGTACTAGCTTAATTAACTTGCATATAAAACTGAATCATCGTCTAAATAAGTAAATCAGAAAAGTTTAAAATTTGTAACATTAAAAATATTAAAAAGTTTAGATAACGTCCAATATTATCAAAAATAGTATTCAATGTGTACAAAACCATGTCCGGGAATAAAGATATATAAAATTATATATCGATGGATGGCGATTGTGAGCGGACTGATGCACTAACTAGTTAAACTACTGACATTAAGACTCGTTATTTCTTTTTCCGAGATATTATATTATAGTTATGTATTTTTTGACCAAAATATTATAGTTATGTAGACTCATGGCCGATAAGGATACAGGGTGGGGCAATTAAAAAAATAAATTTAAAAATAATTTAATAATTAAAAATTTGAAAAAATTGTATCTGAATTTAGAAAAAAAATCAAATGAATTTAATGTTCAAAATATTAAAAAGAGAGGTTTTCTAAGTAAAGTGGCGCCATATGCCCATTCTCACTTGTAGTGGCTCGACCACTAGATGTAGCACTTGTTTTTTGGATTTGGATTTTATAAGTGACTTAATTTTGCTCACTTAATTAGTGTCTTAATTTTTATTAGCGCTTGAAAATTATCAAGGTACATTTTCTTTAAAAAAATTCAAAACAACCTCACAATCAAAGCAATTCTCATGTATGCTTATTCTATTCAAAAATTTGAGATTCAATATTTTTTAAATATAATAAAATATATGACAGCTGTTAGAATAAAATTAAATGATTATTATTATGTGACGTGAGATATTTATTGAGTGAGTGAATTTTAAATACTCACCGAATTCAAATTCTTGTTTTCTTCTTCCTCTTCCCCTAAAAGGAAATACAGCACAGAATAATAGTTACTGTGAAATCGGTATAAAGAACTTATAACATATATAAGAATACATGTTTCTACGATGCACGGTCATTTTGGATACAAAATAGCAGTGTTTCCATGTATTTATGAATAACCAATTAAAAAAACATAGAATTACACGCAAACAGAGGACCTACGTTGGTGGGCATTTCACTGTAAAATCTTAACTAATATACAAGGCATTATTTCATTAATTATAGGAAATAATAACTTCGACTCCGGAATCATATTTTCATAAATTATGATTACGGGCTACTACTGCTGAGTGCTCACGTCCTAAAAATAAAGTATACCTTTGACATTAAAAAACTGGAAAATAAAAAATGAGCGATATATATGCACAGACATCGGACGCTGACTCTAGTTAATAATAATGAAGAGTCTGCTGCAGAGATATGACAGGTGCTCCGTGGCAATAAATTAAACTAAGAAACTTTTTTTTTCCCTAATAAAGAGGACGAAGAAATTAAAGCAAATTCTAATTATAGTTAAGGATCTAATATTGGTAATTCTAAAAAATACTGGGTGGAAAGTGTAGCGTTGACATGAAGGGATTGTGGCGTTCATATATAGGCAGGGCAATTTTGGTAGGCGGATCGGAGGCAGGACACAAAAGAAGGCACAGAAAGGGATGAAGTTTTTCTAAGAAAAGGGAACGAGACTGTTTTAGGAAACTAAGTGGCAAGGTACATAAACCCGACCTCCCTGCATTTGACAGCATCGCTCTCATTCACCCATCATCCCAAGGGGAGCAATCTCCTCATCCTTCATTTTATTTTCGCTCCGATTAACCTGAACTTCAGCGATTTGCTCATTCATGCTATAAGTCATTAATCGGAGAGGAAAGCATCAATAAATTCCACCCCAAAAAAAAAAAAAAACCTCAAATAAAGATGAGCAGAAAAGTGATTGTGCCTGCTGTTTCCATCATCCTCGTGGTGGGTGTGGCCCTCGCAGTTGTCGGCGTCGTCCACTACAAGAGCAATAACAGCAACGATGGTCAGCCACAGACCAACACCCACACAAAGGCCGTTGCAGCCATATGCCAAACTTCCGACGACCAGCAGCTCTGCCACAACACGCTCGACCCCGTCAACAGCACCGACCCTAAGGATTATATAAAGGCGGTGGTGGAATCCGCCATGAACACCGTCATACAGTCCTTTAATCTCACAGACAGGGTTGCCGTAGAGCACGGAAATGGAACCACGAGAGGCATCAAGATGGCCATCGAGGATTGCCAGGACTTGTTGCAATCTGCGATAGCGGAACTGCAAGCATCGGGCGTGCTCGTTCAGGACAACAATGCTCGAAGCGTCACTGACCGGGAAGATGACCTCAAGAACTGGTTGAGCGCCGTCATCGCCTACCAGCAATCCTGTCTCGATGGGTTTTCGACGGACGACGATGGCGAGAAGGCGATTCAGCAACAATTGCAAACAGGTGGCCTGGACAACGTGGAGAAGCTCACAGGGCTGGCACTGGATGTTGTGGCGGGCATTTCCCAGTTTCTCTCCGTCTTGGACTTGGACTTGGACGTGAAACCTGCTTCTCGTCGCCTTCTGAACACGGTGGATGTGAATTACGACGGCTATCCCACCTGGATGTCCAACAACGATCGCAAGCTCATCGAGCTCCCCAACACCGGACATCCCGTGGATCAGCCCAACGCAGTAGTTGCCCAGGACGGCAGTGGCCAGTTCAAGACCATCCAAGAAGCCATCAACTCTTACCCACCAAAATTCGAAGGCAGATTCACCATTTACGTCAAGGCCGGTACCTATAATGAAATCGTCCACATTACCAAGAAGACGCCCAACATTCTCATCTACGGTGATGGCCCCGCAAAGACCATCGTCACCGGCAACAGGAGCTACACCTCCGGCTGGAAAACCATCAAAACTGCCACCTTCAGTAAGTTCATCAATCTTATTAACTGATGCCATCTAATCAATGTTCATTAACTAATATATAAATGATGCATGCAGCCACCTTGGCTGACGGCTTCATTGCCAAGTCGATGGCATTCGAGAACACCGCCGGGCCTGAAGGACATCAAGCAGTTGCACTGAGGGTGATGGGCGATCGCTCAGCGTTCTTCGACTGTGCCATGCACGGTTACCAAGACACCTTGTACGCCCACGCCAAACGTCAATTCTACCGCAATTGTGAGATCTCCGGCACAGTGGACTTCATCTTCGGATACGGCAGCACCTTGATCCAAAACTCCAGGATCATTGTCAGGAAGCCCATGGATAACCAGCAAAACATCGTCGTCGCCGACGGCACTGCACAAAAGCAAATGCGCACGGGAATTGTCCTCCAGAACTGCCAGATCATGGCCGACGCCAGCCTCACCCCCGACAGGTTGACAGTGAAGTCATACCTGGCCAGACCATGGAAGGCATACTCCAGGGCTATCTTCATGGAAAGTGAAATCGGCGACCTCATCAACGCCGACGGGTTTCTTCCATGGATGGGCAACTTGTTCCTGGACACCTGCTTCTTCGCCGAGTACGCGAACACCGGTCCTGGTGCCGCCACAAACAGCAGGGTCAAGTGGAGCCACGGCGTCCTCTCCAAGGCTGATGCTACTCAATACACCGCCGAACCTTGGCTTCAGGCGGGCGCCTGGTTGCCCACCACCGGCATTGCCTTCGACAGTGGTCTCACCAAAGCTTAACTCATTCATTTCCCCCACATCCCCCACATCATCGACCAATTCATTTTCATCATTATTTCTGCAGGAGGTTTTACCACCAATTCATTGCACTGTTGTTACTATTGCTATAATATTCTGCTCTCCTGCATTTGTAATGGAGAGATGAGTTCAATAATATATTATTATCCTACCTTTTCTTTTTCTTTTTCTCATCCAGATGTTATAGAGATCCATTTTCAAATGTGAATACAAACTATTGGGAGGCCCAAAGGCTTTCACCCACTTCTTCCTCCTAAATCCAAAACCAACAATTTTGTCCAAAAGCAAAATCCAAAACCAATAAAGAGTCAGCGGCCGCATCAAATTTCATCCTATTTTATTTATAAAAGCTATTAACTATTTATTAAGGAACTTTTGCACAAATAACCTATATTACAAGACCAAGTGAAAAAATAACTTGCTTTTTTAAAAATTTTAAAAATAGCCTTTTTAATATTTGAATTATAATTAATTTACAAAATTATTTTTTTTAATATCTACTTTTTTCAAATGTTAAAAGATTCAAAATGCAAGAAATCTATGGAACAAGAGAGACAAATGTAAAATAGAAGATAAAACTCGACATGAGAGAGACAAAAGCGACATGACAGAGCAGTGTGAGTGAACCACAGTTACAATAACGAGAAACAAATGCGAGGTGAAATAGGTCGACAGTACTCAACAAAATGGAGCATACTGATAAGGAAATGGAGCTACATATTCATAATTTTTTTATTTTATAAGTTTAGGTATTTAATTCTTTATGATAAGTTAAAAGTTTAAAATTTTTTGTAACCCATGTTTGATCTGCTTTTGACAAATGATTATGTATTTTTTTATATTACTGATCTACAATACTACATTATTGACATACGATTGTATATCAATTATAAATAAATTTATGTCTAATTGTCTGATTATATTGATCTATGATAGTATATCACTGATATATAATATATCACTTATATACTATCACAGATCAACATATCAGTGAAAACTTATCAATTTTTTTATCATTGATATACAGTATTAATTATGTAATATCACATATCAGTAATAGAGTTTCCTTTTCAATATTTAATATCCTCTTCATAATACCTGAGAAAAACAGAGAGGAAGAGAGAGGAAAAGCTCTGCAATGAGGATGGCAACCCAAGCAAATCAGATCAAAAATTCTAATAAAGAAAAGCACTATACGAGAGATAAATATAATGATTCAGGAAAATCAAATCAAAAAAATTGATTAAAAATATATTCAGGGATAATAAATCAGAAAAGGAGCTAGCAATCACAATACAATTTTTTATAATAAAAATAAAAGATTCAGTCAATTAAAGATTAGTTAAATCATATATATTATATTTTAATAATAAATTTATTTTGAGGATAAAAAGAAAAAAACACATATAATTGATTTTATGAATGGGTCATATTTTAAAATATTCAAAAACCTCATCCATAATTTATAATAGTTGTATTTTTTGAGGCCATTGAGCTAATTTTTTTTAATTAATTTATAAAAAAATAGAGGATAATCAGTCATGAAAAAAAATAAAACATTTAAATTTTGACCTTCAGTATTAAATTAGGCATGTCCAGTATTAAATATTTTGACCTTCAACGTTAGATTTTGAGAAACTGAGTCTTCAAAAAATCTAAACATTGTTCAGTAATGAATTTTTTTTTAATAAAGATTTTTCCTAATTATTTTCTGGCCACTCTTCTTCCTATCATTCAACATAAAAGCAAACAAAACTCCTGTCACACACACACACACACACACGATGCCGGCTCAAATGTTCCATCGCCCTCTACATCGATTGGTAAAATTGAAAGCAAAAACAATTATTCATAAATAATAAAAAACAACGCTTGCAAGAAATGGATGATGAGGTAGTTTATTTTGTCGATTTTCTCATCAACAGTTTCCTGTTTCGGCGCAAAATGATATACCCTCATTACAAAGTGACGTTTGCGGTTAATAATTTTCCCTGTTGAGGTGTAGACTTTAGGGCACGAATGAGACAGATGAATAAACATTTCCCAATTGTACACACATTTCAAATCATGAGACGCCATTGAAGAGAGGTCTTCTCAGTGCCAGGACCCTCACAAGTCATAACACGGTGGCAGTGAATGCGAAGGTATCAATATCATCGGGGCATCTCAAAACGGGACATGGATGACTGTAGCAAGGTTTTGAGAGGATGGAGTTGGGAGGAGAACAAACTGTTCGAGTTGGCATTGGCGGTGGTAGACAACCAATGCCCAGATCGGTGGGAGGTGATCGCGGCCATGATCGGAGGAAATAAGAATGCAGGGGACGTTCAGGAGCACTACGAGACCCTTCTGGAGGATTTGCATCTCATAGAATCAGGAAAGCTCGATCACAAGCTTCCACAGACTCAACCCTGTCTTCTGCTCGAATTTACCCACTCCTTGTGCTTGTCTGATTAAAGACATATATGCAACCATGTCAATCTGTGGTTTTCCCCTTTTCCTTCTGCTCTTTCTTTGCCACGCATGCATGGTTTTAACTTCAACTGATGTGCTTTTCTCGATTTCTGTTTCACGTTAGCCTTCAGGACTGAGGCATCACTGGTTCTTACTTTATAACCCATGTATTCGCTTCACATGTATCAGACCATTCTTAAAACTTGATCGCCCAAGCGTCCCTAGCGAAAGAAAATGAAATAAAATGATAATAATAATAATCTCTCTCGTTCAATACAACTAATTCAACGCAAAAGTGCGTAAAAGCTTAAAGAAAAAATATGCCTGGTTTCAGCCTAGCGCCTTAATTCAGAAAGAGGAGAGATAATGGAATCCGGTGGGGTCGTGGCTCGTAAGTTTACTCCCCATAATCCTCTGTTTCGAAACGGCTGATATATTCTGCACTGAATCATCTGTTGGATATACGCTCAGCTGTCAAAAAGTGAAAGATCTCGACCTATTTTGTTGTTTTTTTATGGAATGTGTATAATTAATTAATTATATCAGATGCAAATCATCAGGTGCAGGCAATGCTTAAGCAACGGGCTGCATCACGATCACGGCAATGTCAGATGTAGCTGCAAAAAATTCAGCAGATAGAATATTGAGGGCACATGGAAAAATATTGTACTGGATTAACTCCAAGAAGATGCATTTTCCAGTTTAAGGGAAACAAATTTGAATTGATTTTGACAGATGCAGCAGGATTGATTCCAAAATCCAAGGCCAAAACAGAAATGGAAAACGGCGGCAAGGGACCGAACCCATGAATTGAAGGTTTGAAAAGGAAGAAGCAGGATTGAAAAATGAGAAGAGGAGACAAGGAAAGAGGCAGAGCCAGGGAAGAGGCAGTGCATGAGTGAGGCCACAACAGATTTCTTGTCTCTCACTTCGTCAGTTGCTGGGCGTTTGTGTATTCTGTTGATAGCTCCATCCATGCTCTGCCTGTTCCCAGCCTTTGTCCTGTCTCAGAACTCCTCCTCGGGATTACCTCCCCTTACCTCGTCCGCAAAAATATATAAGCAGCTTCTGTGCAGTACAAAACTTTCCCACCCAATAGCCCACTCCTTAACTTCTATTAAAAACCTTGCTGTTTAATTTAAGCGCCCATGCGCTCGAGTGCGTTTATGATGTAATCCGACTCTATATGTAATATAGCAGAGCATGAGGTGATTGGGTTGTATGTAGTACATTCGTGTACTGTCGTGCTAACGCTTACCCGTACTACTTACTTTTCCAAGTACTGCATTGCATATATGCCTAAGATGTTGAGGCCAAACTGTACTGCTTTTTAGCCCGGTAGTACTTAAAACTTCTCTCTGCTATTGCTATAGTACTTACTTGTATTGAGCTTTGCTTTTGCTTACTAGATGCCAGCTTAAATTCCTGCACCGTGTGGCCTTGGAGTATAATTAAAATGAATTTGATATCTGTATATATACTTGTCTCTTGATCCAAATTCCCATATCTACCCTGCTCGGAATGGGTTAAATTAACCAAGATCGTCAGAATATTTTACTTTATATTTGCACATGCATATTTTTCACTTATATGACCTACTAAAAATTTATCTTGAATTATTAGTGCGCTGGCAATCAAAGTTTAAAGCTCTGCAATGAGTATATTCAACTACGAGTATTATTTATAATCAAAGTTTTCTAGTTTTATGTATTGGGATTAGCTTTTCCGCTAAATGTAAGTCAGACTCATGAACTGGCTCTGCTTTCATTAACAAACCAACTTTCAGTTCCCACGAAGCATGTTGTCTAGTGTCAACGCGAATAGCATCAAGAAAATGTGAAGGGCTTTTTTTCTCCCCAAAAAAGAAGACGACTTATATATGTGTGTGTGTGTGTTGTTAGGTGTGAGTGGATCCACCACCGAAGAAATTTGAAGCCAGAGGGACACCCAACAGCAGAAAAAGGAGGTGATGAGCTATCCTGAGGGAAGCGGAGTGTGGTGGATAGCCCGCCAACTTGGGCTCCAGAGTCCTTTCGTGCCCAACCCATGTTCAGCCCACATAGGCTCACGAAGCAACTCAGCTCTCTCTTGTGCCTGGGCCCTGGGGATTGCCATCAGGATTGCAGACTTGGGAATCTTCTCCTCATAATTATTTGCCGCCTCGCCATTCTCCGCTAGCAGTCAATAATTGGGCGTCTAACAGGGATATCAGATAATGAAACCTTCCATCATTCTGGCCACGATCAAATGGGCAACGCTGAAGCTGAACACACAACACAAGCCCACCAGAGCGCCGCGCAATGAGCCAATGATACGTTTAAACATTAACAAGCTCCAAGAGGCCGAGATTTTCTACAAGATATATCAGCTTAATGATAGATTGACGAGTTTTTCCTATTCATTGAGATATTCACATTCACAATAAGATTCAAATCTACGTTTTTATAGGATACGAATTAAATCCTCACTGATTATATCAATTTTGATCACGAGTTCTTACTTTTACCGAAATTTTTTGAGTTCTTTTTTAAATTAATGAGCTGCATAAACCAAAAAAAAAAAAGTTACATTATTTATATTTATATCTTGGAAATAATATAGCGCTAATTTCTTCTCAACCTCCTTTGAAAAGGTTGTCGTAGTAGCAGTCCCGATAACACTGAAGTATAAAACTCCGTGTAATTAGAGTTGTTAATTAGGACTAGCTCGGCTCTAAGGGCCAAGGCCTAAACAAGTTAGTCCTAATAAGTTCGATTATGTTTTAAGATTTTTTCGTATAAAGCCTGGCCTTAGCTCTTAGGGTTGAAAGGTCAGCCCGCAAGACCTCGATCCTTTTTTTTTTTACTTTTTTTCATTTAAAATTTTAAAAAAATATATTTATAATCTTAAAAAAAGTTATTATATATACAATTAAATTTAAGAAAATAAATTTAAATTAATTTACATCATAATAAATAAAAAAACTTCAACATTCATGTCTAATATTAAAATAACAATATCAAAATTAATATCAACAAAAATTAAACTTGGTTAACATTATTAACTAAATCTTAATGAATGAATGAAGGAGGGATGAATGAGTCTAATATGTTCATTTCTTTTGGTTATATATTCAATCTTATTTTTTTAAATTATAATTTTTTAAAAAAATAAAAGGGCCAATCTTTTTATTTTTGAACTTAAAAGGGTCAATCTTTTTAAGTTTGAATTACCATTTTTTTCTTTTAAAATAGAGACTTAATCTTAATTATTTTTAAGTTTAAAATAACCAACTTGATAGATCCGACCTTAATTGACAACTTTAAGTGTAATTAGTCTTTTTTTTTTTTTTAGGGGGTTGGGGTGGTGAAAGTAACTGGTCAAATAGCTTCCTGGGAAGCGCTCTACTCACCTTATAATCCCTGCCTTGACAGTATAAATAAATCGAAGTAGAGGAATAGTGAATGCATTGTAAAGGATAGAACCAGGACGACCATTCCTCGGACACCATCACACTGTTGAACGACGTGATGGTCTTCGTGTTGTGTTATGCAGCTGGCTATCCATTACCCTCTCAACTTAGCCGGAGAATCGGAATCTTTCCGTGTTAGTTGAGATCTATGGGACCTTTCAAATTTCAATCCTGTGCGTTTATTTGGACTGACCTGCAGTATTAAATTTAAAATAAGAGAGAGAGCGTCTAAGAATGACATCATTTCGGAAATTTTAACTGATTCCACTGATGAGCATTTTTATTTTCATCCAACCGTTTATCTTGTTATTGATTTTTTTTAAAAATTGAATAAGCAGCTAGGGCATAATAACTCCTGCATTTTTCATTTTCGGTGTGAAAAATGATAGAAGATAACTTATATATTTAATGTATTTATTTTTAATTAAATTATAATAAGTGAATATGAAAACCTTTTATAAATTATTCATTCTATAATAAATACTTGTTATTAATTTAATTTTTAATATTCACTTATTATAATTTAATTAAATATAAATATATTAAATATATCAAGTCGAACACATAAATCTTACTCAAAATGATGAATGAGGATAGCATTCAGAATATGAAAAAAGGAACGAGGCAGCACTTCAGCACGTTCCATAACTATTTATCAATCTGTATTGTAGTATTGTACTCTGATGTACAGCAGTGCAAGTCGTGAGCAACTCATTGCTCCACCAGGTGGGCCTGATCATCCTGGGCTTTGAAAGGAGGCCTGATCATCCATTTCCCATTAACAACACGACATTGTCTCCATTGCTGGTGCTGCTGCCAGATCACCGTCATCGTTGACTTCTCTTTTTTGGGCGCCGGGGATGTAAACCAGGGGAGCTAGACAGGGTATCATCTAGAAGACTAATCCAAGGTCCCTCTTTGAACTAAATTGAACTTTGTATATTGTGGCTGAATTCCATTTGGCTTGGGCATATTGAGTTGGGCCACCCTGACAGTGATGTCTACTAAATGCAAGATGTCTTGATTTTGAAAAATGGAAAGTATCACTCTCATGAGCACGAGTCTCAAATGCCATGAAAAGATGGGGAGCCTGGGTGGGGAGTAGTTGACTTTCCAGTGTCGGCCTTTTGACTTTTTCATCAACCCCACCCGCAATGATTTCGTGCACTTAAAAAGTTAATTTTTAAATTTTAAAGACACGCACCCTATCCTATGTCAATTGCTGAGCGCCTGAGGCCTCTGTTTGCACACACATAGGCCATAGCATGCCATTGGTGTGTAAACAAAGAGTAAAGAGAGATATTGAGTCCTGACCGTTGAATTAGTTGTTCTCCCTCCGAACAAAACAAGTGCGCCACTTTCATTGTTTGTGTCCACGAAACACCAACACAGCATTATAATTAATTCACAATTTACATACCTCGATTCAGATAAATAATAATATTGTCACCATTTTGAATTAATTCTGGCATATAGTATATCCTATGTAAACTTAGTAAATGTTTAATTCAACTATCCTTCCATCAATTGGCTGCATCGAAACAAGCACTTTGACTTTATTTCATTAACAAGCACTGAAATAATACAAGAATAATTAGTATTTCATTAGAATACAAAGAGACAATGTTTTTTTAAAAAATGGGAGCATGATCTAGAATCTATATTAGTGGGAAAAAAATACCAGCGCTGTTTCAAATGCACATAGACGAGCGGAACTACGGCAGACAGTATATAGCTTCGATTTGATTTCCCTCTTTTATTTATTCTCGTGGACCATTTCTGGATTTCCACGAGAATATGGTACGGGGGTTGAGCATAGAGATGCTTGCCCTTGCCTGGTTTCATGTTTGAGTTTGTTATCCTTGAGAAGACAATTTGGATGATTTCGTTCAAAATCTCGATTTTTGCCCGAGTTCACAGAATCTCAAATTTAACTATTCATGTTCTCTATCACTGACCATTTCCGTGAATATTCATCCGCCCGCTTGGCATTAGAGATGGAAAAATAGGTAGTCCAACTTTCACGACGTAGTTCTTATAAGCTTAACCTTTAAAGGTCTAAATTTTAAAGTTTAATTTTTTAAATTTTAATTGAATCTAAAGGTTCAGTCCTTAATAAAGGGCTCAACGTCGGGCCTTAAAGCCTCATTTTAAAAAAATAAAAAAATTAATGTTATAAATTAATGTTATTCTTTTAAAAAATAATTTAATTAAATATCATAATATTTAATATTATAATTTAATTTTAAAATTCAACATAAACTAAAAAAAAGTCTACATTGGAAGAAGAATCACTGGAGAGTATTATGAGGGCCAAAATGCCAAAGTAATAGAAAGTTAAGAAAGAGACATGGAGTCAAAGACAAGAGGGAGAGGCGAGTAAGAGATGGAGAGAGCTAGTGGGCAAGCAAAGAGGTGAGATAGTTAGAGGAAAGGAAATGGCAAGAAGGAGAGATTGAGTTAAGAGATGAAGAGAGTTAGAGAACTTGAAATGAATAAATGCTTTGGGTTTTTTTCATTTGTCAAATGATGTGTTTTGAGGTAAAAAGAAAAAAATAGAATAAGGTCTGAAAGGTTGCTCGGGCTCAAGTCTTTTTTTTAGGACTTATTAGAGCTGGATCCAGAAGCTCAATTACCCTAAAAATTTTATATTTTTTAAGTCTGAACTCTTATTTAAATAGGGCTTTCAAGTTCTTTAGGCTCAATTTTTATTTCCA